ATGGGAGAGAAAAAAACACGCAAATAGATCTTCTAGACATGAAGACCACAATGTCTGGGATAAAACTGCACTGGATGGCTTAACAGCAGATTAGTCACTACAGAAGAAAAGGTAATGAATGTGAAAACACAACAGTAGAAACTCATCACGATGAAACACACAGAAGACTAAAATGAACAGAGCTTCAGTGAGCTTTGGGACAACTTCAAGTTGCCCAATATATGTGTACGTGGGGTCCCCAGAGGTGAAGAAAGGAGGGGATATAAAAGACATTTGAAGAAATAATGATTGAAAACATCGAATTTGATGGAAACCATGAGCAAGATACAAGAAGCCCAATGAACCCCAAGCAAAAAATCTCTTCTATTTCAATGTCTGGCTCACAGTCAGCATGCAATCAATGTCTGATAAATGAATGAGCAAATTGCTACCGGCACAGACTCTCCCCCCTGCTTTCTCTCTTCATCACCTCTCCTTTCTTCCCTCTCCCCTTTGCATCTCTCTGCTTCTTATCTGTCAGAGTTGTCCTGGATGCATATGGTAGCCTCTAGAAAAGCCACTGATCTTAAGTCTAGGAACTTGTTCCTGCTTCAGGCTTTGTGAGTGAAAGCCTCAAGCAGTCCAGCCTCCTTCAAATTTGAGTACATCAAGGAGTTTAGAGATTAAAGCTAAAATATCCTGAGTCCTGCTGGCACTACTTCCCCAGGGACTTCTAGTTTTTCAGTCCCTGTGGGGGTTGTAGGGTCAGGAGGAGGGCCCAGGATAGACCAGATGCTGTGTTCTTCCCCTAGCAGAGCAAGATCCAGCCTCATTCATGGCCCACCTCTGCAATTCCTTTGCCCTGTGAGGTTAGGCTTGCTGCTTCACTTCTCTGAGCTGCCAACTGTACAGTGGTGTTTGGATTTGATCATTTTTTATCCCCTTCCAGCTGTGACACCTTGTGATTGAAGCTACTACGCAGCAGGTTGCCACATGGCTCCATCCCCTCTCTGCCAGTCCCCCATGGCCATTTTTCTCTTTGTTGTGTCTCATCTTTACTAACAGTGTGTGGAAACTGGAGACGAGGGAGGCAGACATGCCTTAGACCCTTTGTCTTCGCTGGGTCCCTGCCTTCAATGGCTCCCAGAGTTTTCAGGTCCAAGTTCAAACTCATCAACTCAGCACTCCAGGCCTTGATTCTAGAGCGTGGTCTCTGGAACCATCTGCATCAGAATCATACTTTCTCACTCCCCAGTGTGCTGACAGTAAAGATTCTGATTAAGAAGGTCAGGGGTGGGTCTTGGGAATTGGCATTTTTAATAAGCATACAAAGGGATTTAAAAATGTTTTGGTGGTGATGGGGAGGTTAAGTCATACTATACAGCTTTAAAAAAATCCTAACAGAAAAAAAAACTCATATGCTGAAACTGTCCCTTGCCATCATCCTGTCCTCCCTGTCATTGGTTGCAGGGATAGGGCATTGCAGGCACATACATACATGGGCTTGTGCTTGAGCACAGGGACAGGCCAGGGACTTCTGCAAGCCCAGTAAAGCCAGAATGGCTGCACCAGGGCCTCTGAGATGTCCTCCCCCCCAACCCCCGCCACCTCTATGACCTCTACCTGCACTTCCCACCCAAACACTTGCACTTTTTTAGATGTGATGAACTTGCCCCAGCTCAGCCCCTGAGATGCTGCCACTCTCTGCACGCCTTTCCTCTGTACTTCTCTTTGCCCAGAAAGCCTTCCTTCCTGTTTTGCTGCCCAGCCACTGCCTATTTATCCTTCAAGATTCAGCTCAAGTGCCTCCTCTTCCAGGGAGCCTTCTGGCCCTACCCTGAGCACCACACTTTGGGTTCTCTGCACTTCCACACTCCCTCTTGCCAAAATAACCATGCTGAGTGGGCTTTCCTCTTTCTGTTCCCCACTGGACTGTGAGCTCAGTGCAGGCCAGGGCAGGTCTTATTCTCTGTTGAACTGCCAAGTCCCAGTACAGTGTATGTAGTGCATAGATACTTAATAGATGGTGTTGTACAAATGCCCAGATAGCAGGCATTTTGTCTCATTCTTGCGTTTTGCAGTCCAGAAATCCAAACCACAGAGCTCTGCAGCCTCACCCAGGCTCTCTGCTTCTTGGTACCTCAGAAGGGCTGGTGGAGGTGGAGGAGACGGCTTTGTGCAGAAAGCTGGAAGGAGGCACTCCCCAGAGGTTTCCCCTAGTCACAGGCAGGAGGTGGTCCTCAACTCCTGAGCATGCATGGCTGAGGGGGCCGGAGGATATTCCCACCTCCACCACTGGGATGGGGAGACCCAGCCCCAAGTTGTCCCCCCAACCCGGGTTGCCACGCGGTGGCCAGTGGGCTCTGGCAGAGCGTTCCTGGCAGAAGCAATGCCGGGGCTGCCTCCTCCCTACCCGTGTAGAGGGAGCAGGTGGCCCTGCTGTAGGGAGGGGGTAGGGAGATCCAACAGAGGGAGGGGCCTGGGAGAGGAAACTGAACCAGCAAAGCAGAGTGGGGGTGGGGGGCAAGCGGCTGGCCGGCGGTTGTTTCGGGAGTAAATGTGCTAGGAACACTAATGAGCTGCGTTCATTCATGGCTAGCTGTCTCCCAAACTGGGGACCCAGCCAGGTTCTGGGGTGGAGGAACTGGGGATAGGAGCCAAGTTGGGGAGCTGCTTGGCTGCTGGGGCAGGGCCTCCCATGACTAGGCTGGCATGGGGAGTCTTTGTCCTGGGTTGAGGGGGCCCCCTTCCTTCCCTCCCCTTTATAGGAAACGCCAGGCTTTGCCAGGTGGTGACAATTTGGGATTCACTGTCCAGGCTGGTCTAGAAGCTTCTAGGGCACTGACTGGCTCTTTGGGAGACACGGGCAGGGCCGACCTTGCAGCTCCCTCCATCCTGGCACCCTACCACTCTGGAGCCCCCAGGGCATGTGGCCCAGTTAATCAACACCCTCCCTCTACCCCACATGGGTCCTGGCTTCTGAGGAGGTCATGGGGCTGGGGAGGAACCACTGGAGCAGAAGGCTGGAGACTGGACATCATCAACAGGCTGGGCATCGTCTGTGACAGGCCTACTAAGTGCCAGGTGCTGGGGTAAGTGCCAAAGTGAAGAAATGAGTAAGCTGTGGGGGAAGGGGCAGGCTCTGCCCCAGGAGGAGTGTCAGGGAAGGAGCCACATGTGTAAACAGCTCCAGCTAAGAGGGTGTAAACAAAGCAGCAGGCTCAGTGGAATGAGGATTTAACTCTGCCCGAGGCAGCTGGGAGGGCCTGTGAGAGGAGGGGGCTGAGCGCCCTGCGGAGAAGCAGTAGCAATTGGTGAGGGAGAGAGTGAGGAGGCCCTTGTAAGCTAGAGTTCTGGCGTCATTTTTAGGAAGCTTCTCTAAGATCATTCCCCCTGGGGACCCCCAAGAAGGCCCCTTCCCCTTAAGTTGTCATTTAATTGATACTGAAGAACCCACGGCCTTGGATGGAGGTCATGGAGAGGAGTGTGTAAAAACCCGGAAAAGAACTGTCAAAAGCCCATAATACCGGTCACATTAGTTGTGATGTACTGGCCACAGTCCTCTCTCTGCTATGACGGTGGAGGTACTGTAAAATTTTCATCAAGATGGGAAAGAAAAACAAAGAAAACCCCCAAGTCTTTGGAGACCTGGAGGATAAGGCTCTAATCTCATGGAGATGATCCACATCCCCCCACGCCCCCCCACCCCCACTGTACGCATGCTGTGCCTACCCCCTGGCACCTCCTGGCCCAGCTACCTTTCTTTCTGGTTTCTCCCAAGGGGAAACCCAGGTAGCCAACTCCTGGGAAGGGTGGTGCTTCCAGAGCTGCTCAACTGTTTCTTCTTGCCAGCCTGCAGGTTGCCGGGAATCAGGGGACTGTGGACAAAAGACGTCTGAGTCCTACAGAGCACAAGCAAACCACAGCTGTTCTTGACTTTCCGGGGGTCCTTCGTCTTTTCTGGGCTTGAGGATAATTCTCTCCCTATCTGGATTTCCTGTTCACACCCATGCCCACGCCTGTGTCTCCACCTGCCTTAGAGTAAGAAAAGTCCCTGCCCAAAGGAGGGTGACAGGCTTGGGGGTCTGACCTGGGTGGCCCCTGGAGCTTCTCTCCCAAGTGGTCTCCCCAGCCCTCTTCCAGCCCTGAGTGCAGTCCTCTGATGGCAGGACTGAATATTCGTTTTCATCTGTCAGAAATGGAAGAATGAGGGTGCGAGTGTGGGAAGACACTTGCTGGACTTCAACCCCCACTGATACTCTGCCAAAACACTGCACCCCCACCTGGGAAGCCAGCGTAGCTGATTGGGCAGAAATAACATCCTTCTTCGCCCCCGCCCCGCTGGCCCGTGCAAATGTCCACATCAGGGCCGTTTTCATGGGGAGCAGTTAGCTGCTGTCTTCGCCTCGGACTAGTGGGTTGCTGCCATCATGGTGGAGGAGGGGAGAGGACTGTACTGAGCCTAGGGCTGTGTACATTCTCCCCCGCCCAAGGCTCTGTCCTCAAAGTCCCAGGCTAAGTAAGGCAGGTGGCTTGGAGAGCTGGGGTGCTGGGCTTCCTTTCACCAAGTATTCACAAAGCAAGTCTGGTGGGGCCTGCGACGCGTTTCTGACGTCGGGGAAAGCATGTCTGCGGCCCGGGGGAAGGGGTTCAGGGGGCAAAACAAGCTCTCCCTCCCCGCTCTGGCCCAGCTGCCGGGGCTGCTGGTTCTGAGTGCATGCTTCTAAGTGTGCACATACTCGCGGTGTGTGTGTCTCTGTGTGTGTGTGTGTGTGTGTGCGCGCGCGCGCGTGTGTGTGTGTGTGTGTAGTCGGCCAGGGCCAGGACTGGCAGGTTGAGCGGTGGCCATCCTCCCGTCCCCTCCCCCGTAGCCCCCTGCCCGCTCGCGGCGCCTCGGAGGTTCCACCTTTGAAACTGCACGCTGCTCGCAGCAGCCGCCGAGTGGTCGTGGGGAGGCGGGGGAAGGGGGTGCTGGGGGAGGGCGGGGAGGAGTCTGGCCCTGGATGTGTGCTTTTCGATTGATGGATGACTGCCGGGTGGGAGCGAGCGTGAGGGTGTGAGTGTGTGATTGTGTGTGTGTGTGTGTGTGTGTGTGTGCGCGCGCAGGGTGCGTGCGCGCGCGGGGCCTGCCCATTTTCCTCCTCGCAGCAGTCAGTTGGGAGCTGGAGGGAGGGAGAGAGGGAGACAGACGCAGTCTGCGAGAAACCAGAGAGGAGCAGAGCGCCCTCCGCCCAAGGCGCCCTCCCTCGGTCCGCACATAGGCGCCGTCGCTTGGAGGAGCAAGGTGCCTCCCAGCCCTCAAGGGCGTCGCGCCCGAGCCCGCGGTCTCCTCGGGGGGCGCTGCCCCGGGACTGCACCTGGAGGCCGCCCCGGACGGGGATGGTAAGCTGCCGCCGCCGTCTGGCACACCAGCGGGACGCGGTGAGGGCACCATGGCGCTGACGCCCGGGAGGGGGCCCTCGGCGGGGCTCGTCCGACCCGAGCTCTGGCTGCTGCTGTGGGCGGCCGCGTGGCACCTGGGTGCCACCGCGTGCCCCGCCCTCTGCACCTGCACCGGCACCACGGTGGACTGCCACGGCACGGGGCTGCAGGCTATCCCAAAGAACATCCCACGGAACACGGAGCGCCTGTGAGTACGGCCCCCCGTCCCTAGCGCGCAGGGAGCCCCAAGGTTACCCTCCCACCCAGACAAGCCCGGGGCTGGGGCGGGGGCGGGACCGTTGCGCCCGGGCTCTGTGGCCAATAGACGGGTCAGTGCCTGCCAGGGCCCTTCTCGAGCTGGGAGCCAGGAGCCGCAGCACCCCTGTTTCCCTTTCCCGGGATTCAAAGGGCCCTGGTGGGGCTGTCAGCGCCCATCCTCACACCTGCACTCAGCTCAGGCAGGCCATTCCCACTGCGCCAGCACTTTATTCCTCCAGGGTGCCTGTGAATTGGTGCCAGCAAGCCTTCCTGGCACTCAGGGGGGAAGCTCCTCGCACTGCCAGGCACCACGTCTCCTTTTGGGCACATGGGGCTTGGGCTGTGTTCTCAGTTGCATGTGTGGACTGGGCTCTGGGCTAGCAGGCAGGTGATGGGCAGCAAGGTGGGATGGAGTTGAAGTTTCTAGTCTTCTCCATTCTCCCTATTGTTCGCCCTAGAGCTTTAAGAATTCTTCTCTTGCAGGTGTCAGGCATTGGTCCCCCACCTCACATCCAGCCAGCCCTACGCCAGGCAGACAATGGGACCTGAGGGATTTGGGTTTGGGGCCTAGGGTATGTTACATTGACACCCAGAAAAGGGGTAGGTGTGACCCTGACTGGGGCCCCATGAATAATGTTGAGAGGTGGGGATCTTGGAGTGGAAACATTGAAGATGAAAAGTCATTTAAAAATAATTTCTCTTCCCCTGTTCTCTCTTACTTCTAAATTCTTGAGGAAACTCAGCCCTTTCTAGACAGGCTGAGCTTTGTACGGTGTGTGTGTGTGTGTGTGTGTGTGTGTGTGTGATGGTTAGCATGTGTGCATGTCTATGGATCTATATAATTTGTTTTCCCAGATTCTCCTGCAGAATGTGTGTCTGTGTGAATTCCTAGTATCTGTGGTGTCACCTGAGTAGTGGGAGGTTGTGAGAGTCCCTGTACATGGGCCATGTGTGTAGGTTTTTGGTCACTTGCAGGGCCTTTGTGCTGCCTGCAGAGGTGACTGTCTTGGGAGATTTTTGAACTGGACTTTGGAGAAGGCTGCTGGCTCGTTTGAAAACTGCCTGCTCCTTCTTCCCGCACTCCTAGGCAAATGCAGTGGCTCTCAGGAAAGGCGTAGATATCTCGATAACTTGAACATATTTTCATGGCTCCCAGCCGGCCAAAGGCAGAAATCTGACCCTGGGGAGAGCTGTCTCCTGGATCAAACTCTGTACCAAGGTCAGCAATTAGTGAACACACGTTTGCCCCAGACTCTTCTTGGCTGAGTCTGAAAAATTCCCATGGAGGTTTCAGAAAATTTGCAATCTAGATGCAATCTAGATGGGAATTGGTGTGTGTGTGTGTGTGTGTGTGTGTGTGTGTGTGTGTGTACATGTGTGTTGTGGGGCTGCAGAGAGATGCTGGCATGGGGAGAGGTTGGAACGAATCAAGTTTCCTTGGGGGCAGCCTGTGCATTATCCTATGTGGCTATGGAGAGGGACGGAAGGTCAGAAATCTGTCCAGAGGACCCCTGAGGTTGCAGGGTCGCCCTCCACACCTGTTTGCTCTGGACTTATCTCTGTTCCTTGGCCGCATCCACAGGGCATTTCTATTGCAGCTGTTATCCCGGTGACAGCCTAGGTCTGTGACACAGTAGCCCCTTGCCTCAGCGTTTGGGCCTCATCACATTCCTTGCTCTTTTTCTCCACCTTTAGTGGAGGACAGTGTCTGTTTTGGTGTTCAGGAACTCTTGAGGTCTTTTGCGATCAGAGTGGTACAGAAGTGAAATTTCCTAGTGTAAAAGAAAGAGTTGGGGTTTCAACTGCTGAGGTTGTTGTGTGACCTTGGGCAAGTTACTTAACTTCTCTGCGCCTTCTTTACTTTCCATCCAGAAAATGGGGCTACTGATGGTTTTTGTGAGGACCAAAGATAATATATGGAAAACAGCCTGGTTCATTATGATGTTTGCCAAGTGAGAGGTATTATTATGATAGGATCAGGAGAAAAGTCTCTTTATTTAATTCAGCAAATGTTTCACAGAGCCAGGAACTACCCTCGGTGCTGAGCCTCCAGCAGGGAGTGAGCAAGTCCCTGCCTTCGAGAGGTATACAGGTGAGAGGACCAGGCAGGGGACATGTAACTGCAAACTCTTAGGAGAGGGCCAGGCTGGCAGTGTGATGGGGCTGTGGTGGGTACCACTGGGGAGGGAAGCACTTTTCTGGAGGGAAGGGGCTTCTCAGAGGATGGGCCATTTTATTAGCATACTTTGGGACCCATCAGTGGCCACTCAGTGGCTGGGTCGGAGTATGCCAAGCAGAGATGGCAGGCAGCCCAAATAGAGGGAGCACATGGGCACAAGGCCCACAAGTGTGCGTGTGCCAGCCTGATGGGCAAGTGGACCAGCTTTGTCCCAGGGCTGCAGCATTTCATGTCCACTGGGATGTGGCAAGGCTTGAGGCTGGGAAGGAGAGGAAGAGTCAGGAAGTCCTCTCTCTTTTTCTCTCTCTCTCCCTCTTTGGATTTTTCCTTTGGGGACTTCAGGGATGGAATCCAGGGGTGACTTCTCAGGAGGAAGTGGGGGGAGGTCTGGTCTTTGCTGCGTGCAGAACTTCTCAGGTGGGGAAAGGCTGCAGAAAGCAGAGGGAGCCTGCCTGTGCAGTGGGCAGGCCCCCTAAGGGCCATTTGACGAGGACTAGAACACCCCAAAAAGAGGGCTTGGTGAGAGCCCAGGCAGACTCAAAACAGCTGTAGCAAACGCCCTCTCTAATCGATAGGGGTGTCATGCGGTATGAGAGCCCGAGACAGCAGCTTCTGCGGCTGGGAGATTGGGAAAGATTGCAGCTGTGCTTTTGCCTTTTGTCTTCTGGGCAGTTTCTATGGCAGCCCGCGAGGCCCGGCGACTTTATGATCAAATATCCCTAACTCTGGGTCCAGGCCTGTCCCCCCAAGTGGGAAGAGATTGGTTTGCTGTGGGGACTTCTGGGAAAGGGCCGGGCAGGCTTCAGAGCTGTTGAGGAAATCGCTTCAGCCAGAGGGGCTGTGGGGCTGGTGGGCTGGGTGAGGAGGGGATGCTGAATAATTCACTGCAATGGAACAATTAAAATACGGAGTGAGGGTTAGGTGTGTGGTGGAGGAGGCCTGGAAGCTTCATCTCTTCGTAGACCGCAGGCTCAGAGGGACCCGGCCATGGCCACTATTAATTGTCTTTTCTTCTACTCAACGACTTTGATTTTCAGTTGGATTTTTTTTTTTTTAATTAAAAAAGTCTTTTAGACTAGAGCATCCCAGAGAGTGTGATAAGTTACTTCTCCCATCCACCCCCGGCACTTGTATTCTAGACTTGCCACAGATTGCCCTCGTGGGTGCAGGGGATGGGAAGGCGCTGGGGAAGGCCTGCTGATCTCCGTTGGCACCTCTGGCCCCGCATGGTCTGCTGTTCATTAGGTTTTGGGGGCCTGTTCTCTTGCATCCTGGTCAGTGTGTCCACTGCCCTGGCTCCCTGCCTGCTGCAGAGGCCTGGACAGCCCTTGCCTCTTCCTGGTCTGGCCCCCTGAATCTGGAGGCTCCATTCAACAGGGCTGGGTGGCCATACCCAAGGAAGACTTCCCAGGACAGCCCTCAGGAGGCCGTTTGGAATCCCAAAGAACGACTGGGTGGTGGTTGTGGAGAGGGGTCGGGGCTCGGACTGCAGCCATGTCTGCACCGTGGCCCCCTGAGAGGAGGCTGCCTCTGAGCGGAGCTTGCAGCTCCAGTAGCAGGCGCTCTGGGCTCATCGCTGGACTCGGCGTGACCCCTGGCAGGCCCCTGGTGCTGTCACTCCATCTGCTCTGAGACCCAGTTTCCCCATCGGTAAAATGGGATGGCCACAGCTTTGCAAGTTGATGGTGAGGGTTAAGTGAGTGAATGCATGGAGAGGGCCTGGTGGCATGCTTGGCACTGGGCTGTGTGAAAATGCTTTGTGATTTAACTGGGTGATGTTCTTATTATTACCCGAAAAGCTCAAGCAAAGGTTTGAGGGTTCCAGTGGGGCAGGAGAGGGCTTGGGAGGGAAGCGTGTGAGTGTTGGCAGCTCTGCAAAGTGCTCTTCTGGAGTCTGGCTGCCCAGAGTGCTCCTTCCTAGGACCTGGACGGCTTGGTCTCCTGCAGTTCGGAGGAGGGGGCAGGGTGGTGGCCTGCAGGGATTCTCTGCAGGGTAGATGGTGGGCGGGCATGGCTCTGGAGCCAGACTGCCAGGATTTTAGCCCCATTCTGCCACTTGGGAGCTGGGGGGGGCCTTGGGCAAGTTATTGGGCTTCATTCATTCATTCAACAGATAGCTGTCTATTGAATGTCTGCATCATGCTGAGTGAGTAGTGTCCAACAGAAACCCAAACCGCCTGTCTCTCCCTGAGTTTTAGTCCATTAAGGGAGGTAGAGATGAATGGCGCAGTATGAAAATAAACACGTCGTTGCAAACTGGGGTAAGTGCTCCGGAGGAAGGTGTGACTTCTCAGCACCGCATTTCCTTGCCTGTAAAGTGGGGACGATGGCAGACCTGCTTGGCGAGGCTGGGTGTGAGGATTTGAATGCGGTAGTGCTGGGAGTGGCACTTTGCATGGGGCCTGGCACACAGCAAGTGCCCCATAAATGGTAGTATTCTTTTTGTTATTAAGGTGACAGAATTGCAAAGACATGAAAGGAACCGGGCACCACTCAGTGCTGGGTCCCAGCACGCCCCCGCTCCCTCATCCCTCACCGCGGAGCCACCGGAGCTCTGGATGCCCCTCAGAACACTGCTGCTGCCTCGGTGCCCCTCTTGGAGACAGGGGGTTGGCCTTCGGGGGTCCTGGCTGCCTGGGGCTGTGAACAGAGGACAGCGTGCTCTCTGGGGCCCGGCGGAAGGGTGGTGGGGACGGGAGGCTCCTGCATTATTGGGAGCAGACGGGAGCTTGGCCGAGTTGCCGCCTCCAGTTCTGTGCCGGCATTAGCAG